AACGAAATATAGATCTCTTCCAGTCAGTTAGCCAAGTAGTTGTTCTCCAGATTTCTTGGCACAACTTGGCACATCTCTTCTGAGGTAGTGGCATAAAATACAAATGGAATTTAAGAACGTCTACAGATAAGTTCCCTCAATTCATGAATGTATATGCTGGAGCCCAGAAAAGTCAAATGACCTGCCTAATGCCACATAAGCAGCAACAAAGTTGATTCTAGGACTGAGGTTCCAACTCGTGAACTAATTATTTGATGCCATCAGGCAAGACTCATAATGACACTATGAACAACAAATTGGTACCTTGCCTTACTTACCCTGTGACCCAGGGAGTATTCAGCATTTTCAACAGCACCACAATTTAAAAGCATCAGTTCTTCTTTAGATTTTCTTACTCCCTGTCCAGCTTTTGAATACTATGAGACAATGAAAGTCCTATGGTTGGCTTAGGTTTACCTCAACATCTTTGTTTCTTACCACTTTAATGAGCCCTTTTCATCAGATTTGCCCAATGTACTCTGTTGTTTCTAGTTGAGAGAAAACCATTTGTACCAACTAGAAATTGTTAATGCTAATAAAATTTTAAAAATTCGTAAACAGTTGTATATTTAAGTTTTGAACTACTTGTGATACAAATATTTCCAGAACTAGGGGAAAAAAGGAATCAAAATTAGAACAAGTATCACTGGAGAATTAGGTTCTCTATAAAGCTAAAAGATAAATGGCATTCTTGGCAACATACCTTTAATATATAAAGTGGGTATTTCTCATATGAGGATCCAATGTGGATCTTTTCAACCATATCAGGATACTGCTCAGTTATAACATCCATCCAAGAATAGATCTATCAAAGAAGAAATCATCCATTAGTTACACAGCAAATTTGAAATAGTAAAAGAAATAATTAGTGAAAATACACATTAGCTGCTGAATATAACATTAAAGGGTTATTAGATAAGGCAAAAAAAGATATTTGTTTTGTGTTACTTTTAGCTTTATTCCCAGGCTGAAGACCTTCTTTGTGGTCAATAAATTTCCTTTTCAGGTTTGAGTGGTAATAGCAATCTTAATCTTCACTGGTTTATCCTAAAATAGAGCAATGAGGACCCATTGTGACATGTGAGAGGGAGTCAGCCATTCTTGTAATGACAAGGAGGACTGGGTCAGTAGGTGACCATCACCAAGACTACCTTGAGAAAGCAAAGATGCAATTTATGTCTTTTCCTAATAAAAACCTATGAGGAGAAATGTGGGGTCAAGAATGGTGGATGATTTATCAACAATCTGTGTTATGCAGATGACACAACCCT